TTGGCTGAAAATCCCTAATGTTTAACATGGGTCTTAACTGCCTTCCGGATAAAGGCAGCACTGGGATACCTACGGACACGAGGCAGCCACAGATGAACGGCGTCTGCAGCAGCAGCACGCCTGGCCCAGGTTTGAGAGGTCTTTGCAGAAGCAGGTTCCCCCAACCCTCTGCTGCATCTTAGCCTGGAAGTGACTCCCCAGACATGGGTTAAGCCCGTGCTGTGTTTCAGGCTGGGGACAAAACTCCTCTGATACCCGGATGTTTTTGAACATTCGGTCTGCTCTCGGAAGCCTCCTGGTGAGATACACCAGGAGGGAGCTTGAGCGTGACACGGAGCACACACTGCACCCACCCATGGGCATCCCACCCCATGCAGGGACACTGGGCTGCATGTGTAGGCGACGGGGACCACGCTGATGTTAGCCTGATCTCTGCTAAGAGCTGTGCTCTTCCAAAACTGCTTAGTACCTTTCGTTTATTGTTTTTCCATCTAGAAAATCTTCTGTTAAATCCAGTGCATTGTTAGATAAAACATCGCATTAACTGTGCCTGTTTGCAGTGTTCCTAAATTATCACCAGGGAGCTCTAAATCCATCCCAGCATCCCGGCTGTAGGAGGACGGGAAGCGCAGTACCATCTGTGGTAGGCATGAATGGCAATTTCCAAGCTTTCTATTTTTGGTGGTGTCGGAAGAGTTAAAGATTTATTTTCCACGGGAAGAACAAACAGCAGTGACAGTAATTGCTCTGGCTTGTTTTATTTTGTTGTCAGTGGTGGGTTTTTTATTTGCCATCACTTTCATCAGCACTTAATTGCTGGCTCAGAGCCTCAGCTGCCGAACTACCTGTCTCGCTGCGATGCAAAGGGCTGTTATATCATTTACCTTCTGAAGAAGCTGTGGCCATTCCAGAGTTAAGGCCGTGTTATTTTTTGCTTAACGCAGGTACTAAACTTCTTCATCTTGTGTTAAATATAAATAAAAGACCATGTTGTCCTTCAAACATCTGAGTGTGCTTGAGAGAGTAGGCTGCCGGCAGCGGGGAGCCTGCTGGCCCCGGAGCTGGCAAGAAGAGCTTCGGAAGCAGCACAGTAGAACTGGGCAGAGTTTGTTGTAACTATGAAAGCTGTCAGCCGAACCTAAAAACAAGCAGAAAGGGTCCACCCACAAGCACAGTGGGCAAGAGGAAGGTGCTGTGTAAAGCTGGACTATTTTCTTAAAACAGAAATCACCATACAGAAGTGGTCCAGGTCCGCCTTCCGGACCTGCTTCTGCCGTGGCTCACAGGATCTCTCACAGGACTTTCACCAAAAGCTCTGTGTGTACGTTGCCTGAGATTTTACCCTCCGTACCTAAAGGGCTTCATACAGCCGAGTGCCGCTGCATCGCTGCAGAAGCCGGGCGTCCAGCCTGGCTGGGTGGGTGAAACAGGGAAGACGTAGGTCTGGCAGGATGTTCTCTCCACATCTCTCATTTTAACAGGTTCGGATGTCTCTTGAGTTTCATCTCCTTTCCATCTGCATTAGCTTCAGGTTCATGACACCCTGGTGCTGCAATTTACCCGAAGCTCATGGACAGATAAAGAGCTAATAGGAATCTTATCTATTTTCTGCTAGCCTGATTCAGACCAGGGACTTGAACCAGTCTACTGAGGTTTTGATGAATGTGCTAATCACCCACCGTTTGCCCTTCAAAGATAGTAATTCCTTAGTTAATCCTTTCTATCTGAAGTCAGCTGCTTCATTCACTCGATTTGTTGTCTCTGTGGCAATTTTGCAGTATAGCAAAGGGGGAGCTGCCCTCTACTCACCCAGCCCAAGGGTCTGGCCAAGGTCTAGTCTCCCTGCCCTGGGTGCCCTCCTGTGGGCATGACGCCACAAAGGAGAGAGTTTGGTAAATGCCCCATTATCTCCAGGACGTGAAATTATAAGATCAAGACATTACTAGGGTACACACAGCTTCCATGTGCTCCTGGATCAGTTCACATCCTGTGTCTGTAGTTTCCAGAGCAGGAACCCTCAAGGTCTATCTCCTGACTTCAGTTCGAGGACCTCATTTTCCACTTACTTTCCACTAGAAAGTTTCGTCCTGATGTATTGAACTTGCCGGCAATGTTGGGAGATGCAAAACACATATAGTCTAGAATATTGTGTCTGGTCTGAGAAGGGGAAAAAAAAGGAGGTATTAAAATTTAACTGTTGTGGTGGCAGGGTTTTAGCAAGAGTAAAGTGCCAAACTGTCAAAAGAAGCCCCTCCCTGTCCATACCCCGGTGAAGATGTGAGGCTGCATCTCAGCAAACAGACAGGTGGCCTCTGGGATGGAAAATATTTCAATACTCTGCTTTGAAAATGTGCAGAGATGTTAACGTTCACTCGGGGAAGATGCACGTTATCTGCAGTAATCAACAAAGTGCACCCGTAGATGAGTCAAACGTGACGTTTTGTCTGTGCTTCACAACTGTGTGAGGAAACAATGGTGGCGAACGCCGTCCACCTCCGTG